ATATTACTGTTCACCAAGAGTTACTGTTTACCCGAAGCTCTTTGTTGTTTATGTGTCTCATTTTATTAATTTAGTCCTTTGCTTGGTAACTAACAATATAATTTCACCAAGGCTTAGTTTCACTTTGGTATCTCAATGTCACATTAAATAAAATTTGATTTGGAATTTTCCTGCTCTCTGTACTAAGCTATTCATAGAGATTCCTTTCATGTGTGCTGGTCTGGGGCAAGTACATCTTTTTGTGAGAAGATTTGTGGCAATCAAAAATTTTATGACTGTTGTTAATTAATCTTAATTAACTGTTAAGGATAGGGATAAACTTCTGTGATGTGGTCCTAAGATTGGAATGTTCACTTGGGGAGTTAGCCTTGCATTCGTCATCTGATGCTTGTTGTTGGCTTAAAAAAGTCTCAGCAGCCCAAGGTGCAAACTAAACTTGTCTGCCTTTTCCTTCAGTTTGTATTGATCGAATATGATATATTCTTTGCGCAAATATTTGATGTTTTTGTTTATAGTATTGTTCACATATTTACTGTTCATGTATTGTACAACACTTCGTATGTATTTGATGCCCACAAATATTTGTTATTGATCATGATCTTCTATGCTAACATATTCATGAAATAACATATGTCATCTTTTATGCTCATAGATCATGATCTTCTATGCTAACATATTTTGATAGTGATTAGAAAGAATCATTTTATAGCTCTTCATTTGACTACATGTATAATGCTTTCTCTTGAGATTTTAGGAAATGATTAGAGTTGATATAAATATGCTCTGTCAACTAATATGCCTAGTTAGAGAAGATGTGATGAATCAATGTCTTAAAAAATCAAATCAAGAGGTATATCTTATAACTTCTTTTTATATGATGAATAAAAATTATATTAAATTTAGTCCATCAAATAATTGAATTGCTATTTGGTTCCATTATCCTTATAAGATGTTTCAAATTAATCTCTCCTCTAGCTACATGTACTCTTGCCTGGAGAGACTAATTTTAAAATAACTTAATAAGAAGGGGGCCTAATGTTAACTTCAAATAATATGAAGGACTAATTATAAAATAACTTAAGAACTTGATAAATCTATACAACGCCTGCTATGCAAAGTTGTGATTCTAGACTTTGTAAAGTCTGAGAAGAATTTTAATAATCCATTGACTAAAGGTCTATCCAAAATTGTGGTTTTGAATTTATCAAGGGAGTTGGGGTTAAGCCCATAGATGAGTTCACTGACAGCGGCAACCAACCCTTATTTGGAGACGTAGTCTCAATGTTGGTTCAATGTAGTAAAAACAAGCTAGACTAGTAACACTCGTGTGAAGCATCAATCTAGATATATTTATATATCTTTATGGTAGCATCTGCTACTTCACCTTCTTTATGGTGACGATGCTCTTATGATACATCTGGTTAGGCTGAGTTTTACTCTTAATAAGTCTAACGTATGTATTATGGGGGGTATTAAATATACAGTTGTAGTACCCTTTAAGGACTTACTTACGTGAGAGGAACCGTGATGGCTGCGGTTAGGGGGGCTGGGCTAACCCCTAGAAACTCTCATGAGTTGGTTATTGTGAGCATGGCCTTGAACACTCAACCCGCTTTGCTCAATAGATAAAGACGTATTGTGTGTGTTTTTATCAATACCTGATTCAAGGGACCTGATTCAAGGGACCTAATTCAAGAGACCTAATTAAAGGCTTAGTCCATTATGTCCCTCAGGTGGTGATGAACTCACTAAGGAAAGGTTCAAAACCGAAAGCTACATCTTCCGAATTCACGATACGAAAGGTTGCCCAACCTATATGTGTTTTGTGATTTATTGATTCATTTATTAATTTTTGATTTTTTTAATCAATATTGCCTTGGGGACTGTTGGATATTTTTGGAAAAAGTCAATATTGTCTCCTAACTATCACCTATTAATTCTCTAACTAACCCCATATTTCTCTAAAAAGCTTTGACTATTTCTCCACTAATCTCTCTCCCTCTAACCAAATCCAGTAACCCACGATCTCCTCTCTATCTCTCTATAATACCCTCTTAAGCTCTCTCTTAAGAAGTGACTTCTCTCGTTTGATTCTCTTTAATCTCTCTCTCCCTGCTCACGGAACAGAAGCAAAGAAAAGAAGAGAATAGTGAGAAATAAAGAAAGAAAAGAAAAAGAAATAGAGAGAAAATTATAACGGGGAATTTGTGCTACTATTTTATCGATAGTGTTATTTTGGGCAACCTTCTTCATCTGAGCAGAAGCTTTGTGCTCTTGCTCGAGTACGGAGGCCGGCTGTTTTCAGGGGCTTTTACCGCTAGGGGGGAGGGAACCATTTGTGCCAAAGCGATAGACGGGTTCTTAATTTTCTATGGCAGTGATTACACGACTGCTCCCTTAAAGCCTGATTTTTCTTATCTCTTACTTATTTAATTCGGATTTTATTTTATGCTATAATCTTGATTTACAGGTAATTTCCAACACTACTCTCTTAATTTCTTAGATAATTAAGCAAAGAAGATTCTTCACAATAAATCAGGGGCAAGCTATGAGCCTATAAGACTGCTATCAATTTATATTAATTAGGAGGAAGTCCTCTAGCAAAACTTTGCCTCTAGCTAGTTACAATTGTTCAGTTTGTAAGTAGTAAATGGGTTAGTGGAGTATTTGTTAGAATAATAGAAACTGAAGAATGCTTGAACATAAACATCTTTTCTGAGATATCTTTTTGAATTTTATCTCAAGAACATGCTTATGCTCGAACTATATTTGACTGGATATAAACTAGGCGTTGTTAAGGGGGAAAAAGATCCAAAATATATTAGACAAATAGAAAATAGCATATAATATTTAAAAGTGTGAATTTTATTGCTAGAAAATGTATGAAATTTTGTCGTAGTTTATGCAAAATTCATTGTTCTTTTTGGATTGAATATTGTTTAGGTTAGTTTGGGTTTCTTTGCTTGTGAAATAAATATCTTGATACAATTGAATGGCGCTAGATGGAAAATCATCAAAATGCCATTAGCTACTTGGATAAGGATCCTATAATCAACTTGATATTTATAGACTTAGTTGAAGAGGAGGTTAGAAAGGGAACGAGACAAGGAACTAGTTTGAAAATAGAGGCATGGAGACATGTGTTGAATAAGTTCAATGAAAAATCAAAATTAACGTACACGGTGAAATAATCGACCCAAATTATTGCGATACCTTGAGGAAGGATTGGATTATTTTCGAGCAACTAATAAAAGGAGATCAGGATGGGGGTGGGATGCGACCAAACACACAACAGATGCTCGTAACGAGTGGTGGAACACCGAAATCATGGTACTTTACACTTTTTGTTCATAATCATTTTGATAATTTATTCACTTCTATATTGACTTTATGATGGCATTGATGATGTTTAATTGAATTTTTTTTTTTTTAGGAAAATAAGAAGTTCAAACGTTTGGGCAAATAGATTTGTCTCTTTATTGGTTCTATTATGATGCTCTATTTACGGATTTAGTCGCGATTGCTGAAAGGGCAATGGCACCACATCAAGTACACAGAATAAACCAAGGTTCTTATGCTTCGTCACCAGAGTATGATACAATATGGATTGCCAAGCATGGTTTAACTGGAGAATACATTTGTCAAAGAAGATTTAACTAATTTTATTTCCTTTCCTTCATGTTAAAAAATCAAAGGTGAAATTTTGAATAGGGGACCTATAACATTTTAAGTAGTATGTGCAACCCATATTTTTGATAAAAACATTGTACTGTTCCACATCTTGGATTGCATGATTCGGTTTAATTATTTATTTTAATTGAATAATTTTCATATTATGTAATAATAAAATTAATAATTTTTTAATAATAGTGTTAGTTAGATATGAATTAACTAAATACTGTCAACATTAGCAATTAAGATAAAAAAATAATGTGATATATACAAATATATTTTAATTAGTTAAATATTTTCTTATTGTAAAGTCTAAAATATTATTAAATTTGTTAATTAATTTATTAATAATTATTATTTTGTTAATATGAAATTAATTAATCTCAATATTACTAATTAATTATCACCAATAATGTAATATATAAAAATATCTTAATCAAAATATATGTTTAAATATTATGAGATAACTAATTTTTAATTACTTAATTAATTATTTTATTTATGATGATATTTTATGAATATGAATTTAATTAATCAATCTCAATATTATTAATTAATAATCATAATTAATTTTAACTAATTAATTTTAAATTAATTACTTTTTGAAAATAATTAATAAATATTAATATTTAATTGTATGATTAATATAAAATAAATTAATTAGTCATAATATGGAGTTATAATAATATATTCTTTTTTGTCATTTGGCATGTAACAGAGCCTTATAAGTTATTGTTTTATAAACACATAACTACTTGTATATTTTTATAGTTAAGGGGTTTATCAAACAACGTATCTTATTTTCTTACATACTTATGAGGAGGTTTGAGAAAAAAATAATAAATAACTTATAAGGATTTAAAAAATAAGTAGTAGCCAAACATGATCTAACTATTTTATTTTGTAAAAACAATCTACGCGCATGATTATTCCGATGGAAACCATACTCGGTATATTGCAACATCCACTGATCAAAGTGCCCAATAACAACCTCATGCATGCGATCATTTGGATACATGATCACAGACCAAACAATATATTTCTTGAAACTATATATATTGCACATTTAACAACTTTAGTCACTGGATTATAATCTGTTACAAAAGTCGGATTACAGAAAAACTTGCATCTTTATCAAACAATAAGCAAAAGTGTTACTTAAAGCATGAATTAAACAAGTGACACAGCTAACAACATAGCTTATTGCATGTGCTTGGAAGTAGTTTATGTATAAAAAGTACTTCTTTGTACAAAATTATTTCTAGCTAGACGTCTGCATAAACATCATATACTCAAAACCTAGTGTAAATTTGCATTTGGTTCAATATATGTTCAAAGTTGTCATTGGATTTCTCTATCGGATGAGTGTGCATTCCCTCGTAAGTCGTTACTACAACCCCTTCGTCTTTTGATAGCCTTTGAACTTGCTTCTTCACATTGCAGCCTTGATAAGTGCACCTATAATAGCTTCTGCAAGATTAACCAACATAAGCTAGATAATAATGGCAATATAAGGATGACAATTTGTGATTGAATTTTTTTTAGCATGAGAATAGTTCGTGTTAGATTCATATGATCTCTAAGAAAATGGAGACTATATTATCTTCATTCAAAATCGTCTGCGTATCATTTAATTGACTATTATGATATATTTGAACAAAAAAAAAGGGTCACGAAGATTTTGATGATAGTTATATTTAGAAAGAATCATAACTACTTTATATATATATCAACATTAACATGTAAGAGTGAAATAGAGTGCAAATGATCTTTTACAGTTTTTTTTTTTTTTTGGTCAATAAAAAAATTTATTCATTTACCAATGAGAGAAATGTATATACATCAAGATCTCAAGCACTGAGAGATCAAAAACCTGAATACACTGTATACAAAGTCTTCAAGAAATCATCAAGAACTGACAGGTTACAAAGATTGCAACCAGTGCCGAAACTCCTCCTGAACTTGTGAATTGAGAACAGCAGATAGAATGTCCATCTTAATTCTCTTAATCAATTGAGTAGCAGTTCTAATCTCCTGTTGAAAGATTCTGAGATTTCTCTCAGTCCATATATTGTAGATTGCTGCCGTAAATGCCATTCTTCTGATTCCCTGTTTGAATCCTTTTCCTCTTAACTTTGTACAAAACCACTCCAAGATAAGATCCCACTCACATGATTTCCAGGTAAATTGAAGCCAACTCATTATGCCATTCCAGACCTCAGAAGAGTAATTACAGGAAAAGAATAGACGATTTCTGTTTTCCAGTTCAGTTCCTGAGCACAAGTAGCATGAACCGTCAATTGTTAACCCTCTCTTCATCAATCTGTCCTTAGTAAGTAATTTGTTCAAGACAGCAAGCCAACTTATAAAAGAATGTTTAGGATAGCACAATTGATCCCAAACAGTATAATGCCATGGCACTTGCTGAGAAACTGGTAACAAATCATGGTATAAAGCTGAGATATGAAACTTTGTATTCCTGTAGCAAACATTCAACAATTGTAACAGATTATTAATCCCACCACAAGAGAGAGCAGCTCTATCTCTTGCTTTGATCATTTGTTTCCACATCCAGGAGTCACTACTTTTAGCTGTCACATGCCATATATCATTTCGTCTCAAGTAAGTCCCATGAACCCACTTGATCCAAAGAGACTCCTTATTTGAATGGATTTGCCATAGGATTTTTAAGGTTGCCGCCAAATTCCAAGATGTAGCAGAGTAGACACCTAAACCTCCTCTCTTTCTATCCATACAAACATTAATCCAAGCAACAAGAGGCATTTTAGAGGATTGATTGGTTTTTCCCCATAAGAAATCCCTACATAGCTGATCAATTTTGCGGGTAACTTTGATAGGAAGAGTATAGTTGGATGACCAGTAAACTTGAACACCCATAATAATACTCCTAATGACTTGAAGCCTTCCCGCATAGGTAAGATTATTGTGCTTCAACCAGTTTTGAAGTTGGCCTGAAACTCTGTTAATAAGAGAGCTACAATCCTCATAGGAAAGCTTTTTGCATACTAAAGGAACACCAAGATATCTGACTAGAAAAACACCCTCCGTGAAACCCAGGTGATTTATGATAGAGGCTTTAATATTATCATCAACACCACCAAAAAAGATTGAGCATTTGCTAGCATTTGCCTCCAAACCAGAGATTTTGCTAAAATTTTCAACACACTGGTGCAGTTTTCCCACAGAGTATATATCACCTCTACTAAAGAGAAGTAAATCATCAGCGAAGATCAGATGAGTAATTTTGAACTTACCACACCTGGGGTGAAATTTGAAGAGTTTATCATGCTTGAGCAAATCTAAATCCCTCGAGAGATATTCCATTCCCAAAATAAAAAGATAGGGGGAGAGAAGATCCCCCTGTCTAAGACCACGCTCACCCTTGAAATAGCCATGAAGTGAACCATTGATGGAAATAGAAAATTTAGGGCTAGTTATGCAGGACATGATCCAGTTAATCATCACTGTAGGAAAGCCCAAGCCCTTGAGCATATCATTCAAAAACTTCCAACTGATAGTATCAAATGCCTTCTTAATATCCACATTTAACATAACTCTTGAGGAAATATGCTTCTTGCTGTAGTCTTTGGCTAACTCATGTGCTAACAAGATATTACTTGTTATTTGTCTTCCTTTGACAAAAGCATTTTGGGCTTCATTCACCAAGAAACCCATAACTGATTTTAACCTATTTGCTATGATCTTAGATATAAACTTGTACAGACAGTTACAACAGGAAATAGGTCTGAAATCAGATGGATTTTTAGGGCATGACACTTTAGGAATAAGTGTTATAGAAGTAGAATTAACCATACCCAATAACTTGCCAGATTTAAAAAATTCCTCAATGGCAAGAGTGACTTCATATCCCACAATTGACCATGCTGATTTGAAGAATGATACACCATATCCATCCGGACCAGGTGATTTGTTCTCAGGCATGGAGAATACTGCTTCTCTAATTTCCTCTTTGGAGATAGGTTTTGAAAGAATTCTGACTTGAGAGACTGTCAAACAGGGACCTGATTTGATAGTTTGTATATCTGGTGTTAATGTACTAACCTCCTTTCCCATAAGATTCTTATAATAAGATACAAATTCATTCGCAATATCATCTCCATCAGTTAACTTTTGACCCAAATTATTGTAGAGAACCAGAATCTTGTTTTGATTCCTTTTCAGTTTAATCATTGAATGGAAAAACCTGGTACATTTGTCACCTTTGATGTTCTAATTAATCCTGGCTTTCTGTTGAAGGAAGGACAATTCACATTCAACCAGTCTATTGTAAACTGTTAAGCATTCATTTTCTTTGTTAATGTATGACTGGCTGAGAGGATTAGTCTGAAGAGTTTCCTGTGCTTCATCTAGAGCTTGTTTTGCTCTTGAAACTTGCTCACTAATATTGCAGAAATGCCTCTTGTTTAAATCCTTGAGAACACCTCTCAAATATTTCAGTTTAGTGCACACAGAGTATATTTTGAAACCAGCAACATTAGACTACCAAATGCTAGCAACAGCAGGGAGAAATTTTTCATGTTTAATCCACATATCAAAGAATTTAAAAGGCCTTTTACCCTGCACACAATCCTCATAAACTGAAACAAGAGCTGGAGAATGATCTGAAAAGTTTGGGGTGAGGAATTCAACTTGACTAGAGTTGAAATTATTCAACCATGCATCATTTACCAAGGCCATGTCCAACCTGCACCAAATTCTTGAAGATGAGTCTTGTTTGTTGCTCCAAGTATAAAGACTGCCTATAGTTTTCAAATGATTAAGCTTGCAGTCAACTATAAATTCTCTGAAATCATTTAGATCATTGTCAGAGAGTAGAGAGCCTCCTAATTTTTCTTCATTGCTGATCACTGAATTAAAGTCCCCACACAAAAGCCAAGGTGAGTTTCCAACTGATTGGTAAATATCCTTTAAATCAGCCCATAAGACTTTCCTGGCAATCATTTGATTAAATCCATAAATTGTAGAAATGACACCATCAAATCTCCCATCCAAAGATTTGACTGAGCATGTGATGAATTGATCAGAGAAATGAATCATATTAACATCTAAAATATTAGGATTCCATAAGATCAGAATTCTTGTTTTCCTGTCATGACTAGAGTTGGATAGCCAATTCCAGCCATTTACCACTTTATGGACAACTTTAGGAAGTTTACTAGCTTTAATCTTTGTCTCCAGCAAAGCCAAATAAGAGAGGTGATATTGAGCTATAAATTGTTTCACCAAATGTTGCCTAGAGGACTTATTCAGTCCCCTAACATTCCAGAATGAAAAATTCATTAATGAAATGAAACCCCTCTATTGCTATTAGAGGGGTCAGTAACCAAGGTCTCTAGATGAGCAAAAGGGTTGCCAGGACTAAAACTCTTTAGCTTCTTCTTTTGAATTATATACCATGAATTATCAGATGCACTTAGTAAATTCTGCACTTGCACAGGCTCAATGACAGAACCTCTATTAGCAAGTATAGCTTTATTGCCATTGACATCTCCTTGTACATGACCATATTTAGAATGTGCAAATCCAGGCTGCTGATGAGTGGAAAGGTGCCCAACATGTGTCATTTGTTCAACATTCTCCCCAGCTTCAAATCTACTATCTGACTGTGAAACGTGCACAACATGCATAGACTCCTGTTCACTAGAGCCTCGAACTTCAAATCTGCCATCAGCCTTCAAAACATTCCCCACTAGCACAGGTCCTTGTTTAGAGCTGTTATCAGCCTTTAAAACATGCACAACATGCACAGGCTCTTGCACTGCAGAATTCCCTGTGTTTGTCTTTAAAACATTATGCACTGATATCTGATTTATACTCTCATCCACTTTAGTTGAAACAAATGGGTTTATAGCATCATTCACATGGCCCTGGGAGAGGGTCTTTCCAATATTGTGCTTAGGTACCCATTTTTGGACTCTAGAATTCCTTTTACAGAAAGATGTGTCATGACCAACATTTTTACACAAATCACACCACCTAGGCTTGTATTCATAAATCACCTTTTGCTTGTAATGCTTCCCATTTGGTCCCTGAATTGTTGTTTGATCAGGGAGAGGAGAGGGCATAGCAACTTCAACCAGAATTCTTGCATAGGCCAACCTCTGCCTGTTGGCAGTAAGTTTGTCAGTAGTGATGGGTTTGCCTATTACACTGACAATCTTGCTGATACTTTTCCGATTCCACAAATTTAATTTCAATGCTGGTAGTTGAATCCATAAAGGGTATATACACTCATCAGTTCTACCAATATCCTCTTCAATAGACCACGGCTTCAAGAGGATAGGTCTGGAGCCAATAAACCAGGGACCCAAGCTAAGGATATCATTCATCTCCTCATTATTTTTGAATTTGAATAGAAAGAGACCAGCCTTAAGGAGACAAATTTCAGGAAAGTGAGGCCAAACTTTCCTAATATAATTCTCCATAGCTTTATATCTAATGTTTAATCCCATCACCTGACCAATTAGAGAGAAATTCCACAAAGAAGCACCCACATTCCATTCTTCTTCATCAAAAACAACTTCATCTTTATTCTCAGAATGCACAAAATTTAGAACCATACCACTACCAGGTTTCCTATTATCTGAAAAAAAGACTAGACCAGCTCCTGACAGGCTTTTGAAGATCTTGAGTAGAATTTTTGAGCTTTTCTTGATCATTAGTTGAATCATTAGCTTTGTCTAATGGAGGAAATTCAGCGCTGGCAAACTCATTTAAGCCTTTATTTCTCTCTTTCAAACTCAAAGAAACAGATTCCTTATTCATTATAAAATTGATCTTTTACAGTTTTAGATGCATTTTCATACTAAAAATAACTTTCCCACTTTCAATTTGAACTTGCCAAAACACCTCATATAAAGAAACACATTTTACATATTACTGTTACGGATGTATGCTTCCACTTTCACGAAAAAAGATAACCAATTAAGGGGAAAAAAGAAGGGAAAAAAGATAATTTTCTTTCACTTCACTCTCCACTGCCAAACACACTTATAGCTCATGCACCTATAGCGCGTGTGCTTAAACGGGCAGGCATCTACTATAGCATAAAGGACTTCATCTAGACATCTACAAGGGAGATACTTGATAAGCTAAAGTTGGAAAAGCATAAGAAAGGACCTAGAGAAACTACAGCTATTTATAGTTGTCAATGAGCAAAATTGACTCACATGTTGCCACAGCATTAGTATATGAATGTCAAAAAAGAATTTAAGTAATTTGGTTAATACCGCATTTTCTCAAATCATATTCTTTCTCCTCAGCAAATCACTTGCAAAGCTATTAAGTTTCTTACTTTCTGGCTAGGTGCATCCACCTCTAAGAAGTCGATCAAGATGAAGCACTCCCTTCGCTCCTCTGGACTGCTGGATATTTTGGCATCGGGCGAAGACAGCATCAGGTCTTCTTGACAGGGGTGCTCCTGCCTCTTCCTCAGAAGGAATTTTGTTTTTTGCTTAGTTCCTTTTGTCATCTATATGTTCATCCTTTTTATTTTTGCTCTTTTGGTTTTTTCTGTAGCAGCACCTAGTTTTCTCCCTATGATTTAGCATATCCTCCAACTCGGAGCTAGCCCTAAATCATCTGTAGAATACTAATTTTGTACGTTCTTTATCTCAGTATATAATAGTTTTATGATAGGGCTTTCAGCCCTATTTTACTTCAAAAAAAAAAAACTTGCATTGTATTAAACACTCATAAAAAATAATATAGACCAAAAAAACTCATCTATGACTCGCAATGTCGAGATATTAAAGTAGAAAAAGGCAAAAATAACGCCGGTTTGTGTTTTGGATCTAAGATGTTTTTGAAAGTATGTGAGTTTACAAATAAATTGGGGTTTTGGGTTTATAGCAAAAAACCTCTTTATATGGTCCTTTATTATATTGTTATATTGTTATATTATATTATTGGAGTTGTTGAGCATTTTAGATTTCTGATTAATTTTTAAAGTGGGTGAGCTTAAAGAAAATTGAGCTAGCTTATTGGGTTTATAAATAAAAATTTTATTTATTTATTGTTACTTTTAACCACAGTGAACTCGCGTTGCGAAGTTGTGTAAAGTTTTAAGCCCATGGAGCATTATGTATTTGAGATGGATCTTTGAAGTGGTGGACTTCAAAGCAAATTGAGTTAAAACATTGGATTTGTAAACAAAAAATATATTAACTCATAGTTTCTTTTTAAGAGTGAGTTTCACAATACCCCCCTAAACTTTGGGGGTTGTTGCACATAACCCCTGTTGACGTTAAATAATCAAACGGTCAAATATATTGGGGGTGAGGTTGATTAGGGGCCACTCACTTCTTCGAATATCTGGTTTGAATTGAGTAGTTTCAGCCTGCACTAGTAGCAACTCGTGAGAGGACGGGGCTTGGTTCCCCGTTTTACCTCCGGCGATCAAGTCAATTGATGAATTTGAGTGGGAAAATGAAGAACTGTGTATGTTCTTTACTGTAGTGTAGTATAATTATCAAATATTGCTTAAAAGATCATATCCTCCTCATGTTGAGAATAGTATCTCTATTTATATTAGTGCTGAAAGGATAGAACGCTCATTTCGGACGAGCACAGCATGACGGCAATTAAGTATTGCCTAGCGGTTGTGTCAGCATCTACTTTACAGATGTCGGCCGGCGAGTGAAGGAGAGATCACCTCAGCATTTAATGTGAAGTGATCGGAGGCATGACGGTACTAACATAGTCCAATGAGTCATAAAAATTATCGGGGCTAGACGTATGATGGCGCCTGCCATGTGACGCTGACGTGCTATCAGCGAGAGATGCTCGAGGTTGAAGTCATCCTTTAGCTTGGCCGAGAAGTAACACCTTTTGAGTCGACTTCGTGAGGCGTCGAATACCTACTTGAGTGGGCTCATAGCGAGTCATTTGCGACAAGAGGGCTGACAAGTATCGCCATTCAGGTCGACATAAGAGGATGTTAACTTGGCGAATCAGCTAAGTTGGGATTCTTCATCCTGACCGTCAATCTGATTTGAGTAGTGCATGTAGAAGGACATTTGTCTGTTGCTGGCAAAGGGTTGTACTTTTGCGATAAAATAGCATAACAGTTGGCCCCTTTCGGTTGGAGTCGGCTTAGGTCACAGTACTATTCCTGAGGCGTCTCTTCATCCTGGTAAGGAGTCGATTGGGGTGGAAGACGGCATCGATGGGAGAGCTGAAACTCCGTCGTACCAGATGGAGAATGGTGCTAACGGGAGGATTTTGGAGGATATGCCAAGTGTTGGCATACACCAAGCTCTCCAGGCTTGTTTAGCTCGGGGGACTTTGCTGGAGCACGCCCTATTCAATCGACTTGAGCATTCCCTAGAATGCTAAGCAGGGCTAGCTAAGGAGAAGTCGGTCAAGGAAGAGGCAGAGAAGAGGATCATTGTCTTAGAGGTCGAGTTAGCTTACAAAGAAGGCGCTTGGCGCCGGAATTTGGATGAGAAGGAAGAGCTCCTCAAGAGCTTTCGAATCTAGTTCTCCAAGTAGGTGGGGACCATCAAGGACTTTCAAAGGGAGATGGTTCATCTACAGGCGGTGGTGGAGTTCGAGAAGTATCACAGGACAACGGCTGAGACAAATGCTCGATCAAGTCACCTATCTGTTGAGAAGATGAGGAAGGACTTTGAAGAGGTGCAATCAAAGCTTCGGGCGTCCATGACCCTTGTCCAAAAGCTGGAGAACAAACTCATTCATCTGGATTCGGAGCAGCATAAAAAGAAGATGGTCGACGACTGGCGTCATGGTTCTATAGGGAAAGCCGAGGTGGCCTTAGCATGTAAGGCCGGAGTTGACTACTTCACTTCTCTAGTGCCTCGCAACTCTCATCCTACTCCAGATCGGTTCTATCCTTTCTACGTCTCCTGTTGTCTCGATTTGTTGAAAGATATCGAGAAAAGTGGAGGCGTGTTAGATTTATCAGCAAGTGACGATGAGGTCGAGACTTTTGCTGGGGCCCCTAGGAATCTTCTACACCTGCTACCACCAGGAGACTGCCAAGTCCAACTTCCAAATGTGGTCAAGAGCTTTGAAGACCTTCATTTCTCTTCTTTTTTTTTTTGTAGAGAAGTTTGTATTAAAGTTTACTCTTATTGAATAAAAATTAACTTTTGTCTCCATTCTTGAGCTTGCCTTCATTGTTTATATTCTTTTAGCTTTGTAGCTTTGTTCTTGTCTAAATGTTGGCTTAAGTGAGTTAGTTATAATGTATCGACCCGTGCTGGGGACTTATGACAACTAGTTTACTTGATGCCTTAGATTGGCTGAGCGTCTAATTGACCAGAACTTGACAGATGATTGCTTAAGTTTTTAGATCAATTAAGTATTGGTCATACACTTAATATTCATACCTTAAGCTTATGAATATCTTTTTTGGCAGAATGGCAATCCTGAGGTTGGGTGCATAGGTCTTACGTAGGTGTCTAGATCTTCATAATCCCCATATGGTCGAAGAGCAGCTGTGGGAGTCAACCATAGGGTTGTGCCTTAGATTTATTCCTGATAAGGTACCAATGGCTTAAAAATCCTACTCGGAAGTCGAACGCTAGTCTTAAGAGAGTCGACTAGGTCTTTCCTTCCCCTAAGGCTGAGAGACTGTGAGAGTCGACCAAAACGTTATGCCTTGGGTTTATTCCTGACAAGGTACCAAGGGCTTGAAAATCCGACTCGAAAGCTGAACACCTAGGCTCGAGAGAGTCGATTAGGTTTTTCCTTCCACTAAGGCCGAGAGATGATTGTGGAAGTCGGCCAAAAGGTTGTGCCTTCGGTTTATTCCTAATAAGGTACAAGGGCTTGAAAATCCGACTAGGAAGTCGAACGCTTAGGCTTGAGAGAGTCGACTAGGTCTTTCCTTCCCCTAAGGCCGAGAGACGACTATGAGAGTCGGCCAAAAGGTTGTGCCTTAGGTTTATTCCTGATAAGGTATAAAGGATTGAAAATTCAACTCGGAAGTCGAACGCCTAGGCTCGAGATAGTCGACTAGATCTTTCTTTCCCTTAATGCCGAGAGACAACTGTGGGAGTCGGCCAAAAGGTTGTTCCTTGCGTTTATTCCTGATAAGGTACCAAAGGCTTGAAAATCCAACTCGAATGTTGAACGCCTAGGCTCGAGAGAGTCGACTAGGTCTTTCCTTCCCCTAACCGAGAAATAACTATGGGAGTCAGCCAAAAGATTGTGCCTTAGGTTTATTCCTGATAAGGTACAAAGGGCTTGAAAATCCGACTCAGAAGTCGAACGCCTAGGCTCGAGAGAGTCGACTAGGTCTTCAGCCATAGTGAAGCTTTGATCCCTGCGAGATAAGAGTTAATTCATATTTTAATTAGATTTCACCAGTTCTAAAATTTACATGATCATTAAAAATATCCATTGTAGGCATCTGATGCTCAAAGGGGGTTGAACCACTTGTGATCTTGCTTTGTATCTGTTTCAAAGGTAGTTTTGTAATAGATGAGGCTGCCAGTATAAAACCTCTTTAGTTGGATTTTGCTTGCTTTCTTTATAGTGGAGTACTCAATGATAGATGAAGATGAGTCGAAACTCTATTTTCCATCTAATTTGCCAAGGTTCTTTTTGAGTCTGAATCTTCAGTAAGGCATTGAAGGTGGATGGTTGGCATATCGGCTTTTAGCAAAAGAAACAACTCAGATGCCATGAATCATGTTGAATGACGTTTTCTAAGACGGGTTCGTGAGGGTTGGGGGCACGACCAGAAGCTACATGGTACCCTTTGCGGTATAAATACTCTTGGAGAGAGAATCCACCAATCGGTATTGTACTCCTTGGAAATAATAAACCGTAGCGGTTTCCTCGAATGAGCTTCGGGAGCATTGGGGCTAGACAATACTGTGAATGGAGAATTCTCCCTTATGGGGATCATGTGGGTCGCATGATTCGACCATTAGAGCTTAGGAAACTTTAGTAGTGCAGACGTCAATTGAAGGATAAGGTCATTCTTCTTGAGAAGACAATCAGTTGACAAGCCCTAAACTTTTCCCGCAATCTCATCCCTGATATATGGGAGTTCCCTTCAAAAAGTCCTCATGATCCAAGACAGCTATCACTGACTTAATCACTGCTCCTATGCTCATATGAACTATTGCTGGTTAGAGGTTAAGTGATATTTGGCCTTATCAGATCCTACGTTCTGGCCAAAGTTATTCTGTGATGGCGATTAGAAGCCAGGGTTGCTTTTAAAGAAAGACAACCACTATTATGGTGTGTCTTCTTCTGGAGGGTTTTTAGAGGGGCCGAAGGTCATTCTACCATCTAGCAGATGGTGTGCTTGGCAAACACTTCCCAGATAAGTCGCTGAGGCCTTCGAGGACTACACCTATGTTGACTTCTCTTAGCCAAATCTAACCCTCCTTAGCTTGAATGATCCAACACCTGACTTCATTTAGCTTGGATGATGCAACTTCGATGTTGTTCTTCAGGGTGGATAGAATCGAACCATTGTTCAGAACTTGGCATGTCTTCTTGAAAAGGAAAAGAGGCCCTACGGTGGGTGCCAAACTATTGATGCTAAATATTACACAGCCAATTAAAGTCACAGAGTTTATATAAAAAAAAGAGGAGGGTTCGCTTTCTTCTTCGACTCTATGCCGGATTCTGGAATTAGGATGGTCGAGCAATGTGCACACAAAGAGTCGTAAGAGGGTGGGGATGAGTTCCCCCGTGATACCTCCAATGATGAAATCAGTTGATGAACTTGAGTGAGGTTAAAGAAGAATTGTGTGTTCTTATTTTTATACAGTGTGTGCTTTAGGGGATTTTTGATTGCGAACCCTGGGCTATGGTGAATAGCATATGTATTTATAGGGGATGCCAAGGGCAGATTGGTCTTTTTGATCATGCAAATGGCGGTGACAAAGTGTGAGCTGGAAGGTGAGTCATCCTTTGCTCTACATGTGTCGGCTAGCGACTGGAGGGGAAGTCACTTCGCCATGGGAGAGGGTGTCTCCGCATATTCTGGGAAGTGATTGAGAGCGTGGCAGGAGGCACGCTGGCATACTGAATCATCCCTCGCTTTATAGGTGTCGGCTGACGACTGGAGGGGAAGTCACTTCGGCATGGGAGAGGGTGTCTCTGTGTTTTCTAGGAAGTGATTGAGATCGTGGCAGAAGGCACGTGGACAGATGACAAGTCATGGAGACCATTAGGCTAAAATCAGGATAACATTTGTTCGATGTGGACTGAAATATTGACATATGCTCTGGGGGAGAGGCTTGAGGCTGGGTTCGAGTCCTCAACTTAGCCGACAACAGGGAATGTCCCTCAAGTCGTCTCCGAGAATTGCCCAGTGAGTGATCGAGTGCCCTAAGTGGGTCGTCCTCGGCGATAGGGTCGATTGATCCTGCCTTTCGTGTCGACGTGAAAGAACGTCGACTTGATGAGTTGGCGGGGTCGAGACCTTTGTTGGTATTGGGCCGCTTAAGTGAGTTAGACGTTATTTTGCTAGGACTCTTATTATATCATTTTGCAAATGTCTGTATCTTGGGTGAGTGAACACCATAACAACTTTAGATTTGCAGATGAAAAATCATAGTAAAAGTTTAGAAGTGGGTGTGTTTGAAAACAAATAAGATTGAACTTTGGGTTTCTAGCAATAAAATTAAATGACACTGAGATTTTGGTTTGTAGGAAACAAGAACTCATCTACAATGCATAATGTGACAATTCTCTCAATATTATTTCCGGTGTAAGAGTGATTTCGAATGTGTGAGGCTTTACAAATAAATGTGGGTAAAACTATAAATTAATAGGTGATGAATTGTAGTAAAAGTTTTAAAGTGGGTGGGCTTGACAACAAGTTGGGTTGAAGTAGGCATGTCCATCCTAACCGGCCCGGTCCGAAAAATCGGGCCCGGGCCTGAGCGGCCCGAGCTCCAGGTCGGCCCGATTTTCTTTAATTTTTAATTTTTTTTACTTTTTTTAAAATTTTCAATAAACCAAAGTAAAAAATAAACATAATTTTGATAAAAAATTATATTATTAATCATTTATAATTATGTAATTTACAAATATAAAAAATTATAGAAATTAAAATGATAAAATAATATTAAATAATTGTAGAATTTATAGAAACAGACAAAATTAGAAACAGTGCATAGCTATAGTACTAACCCCAATTGTTTTAGTATATAGATAAATAAAGATAAATTTTTCATATCTAAATAATTGTATATATTCTCTTACGAGAAAGAGCCATCTTCTAGAAGTCTCAATTTACGATCAACCTTTAATAGTTTCTAGCCAAAATAGTATTCAAGTTTTGACCAACCATTCTCTAAGTGCACCCCACCCCGGCGTAATATAGCTTAATCTCTATATATACAAAATCAATATATAAGAGCTTTTACAAGAAGAAATGGTTACGGAACCATGCATGTAAATTATATATGGATCAACGAACCCAATCTTGAAACATCTAACCTAGCTAACATTGAGCAAACTGATTTATAATTTGTGCAAAATTTGATGTACTTTAAGTAGTTTTACTCATGGCTGGTGCATAGATATATGGTGCAGTGAAAAATAGCTACAAAGTCGCATGTAAATTGAACTACCGGCTAGTTTTATAATAAAAAAGAGGATAAACGTGCGTGGAAACTTTGTGGGTTATAACTTATTGTGCATTGAATCAATCTTTCTAGAAAATAAGTTTATCTTCGAAAAATTATCTACTATCTTCTGATTAAGCTTAAATTCTCATCAAAATTTTAGCCTATCATCACTTGATGCTTGCTAACCCCCGTGCAGAATCACAACTTGAAAAAGAAAATGATAACTATAGCCGTTCGCACGTATCCTCCACTTCCATAAATCACACTACTCTTATAACAGTGATGAGTGGCCAAGGGAATAAGAGGTGCTAAACCTTCCTTGGAAACTTTTGGTTCTTTATGATACCTCTCTTTAATTATTTAATTACCAAAATTTTACATGTTACTCTAAACTAAGAAAATAAAATATTAAATATATTTTTGCTTTAGATTTATAATTCATTCGTGTAACGAAGATCATAATTAGAAAAGGGAAGTGATAACTATAATGGTGCAAGTAATTATATCCTCTACTTCTATAAATCACACACATATAAGAAAATCCAAGAGAATGAAAAGTTCTAAAACCTTGGAAACTTATTGTTCTTCACTGCCTTCTGTCCATACTTCCTCCACCGATACCCATCATCAAGAACATCAACCTGACTCCTCGTCTGAAACGCATACCGAGCCCTCCTCTCCTTGTTCTCCCCCTTCATCTTCTTTCTTGCCTCGCATCCATTCGACTCAAGAACAAGGCTATCTTTGTTTCCACCATCAATATTATGATAATTATCCTTCACCTCTTGCCCGAGCTCACTTGTAGTGTTGTTGTTATAGAGTTGTGGGTTGAATAATAAGGGATAATTCTCCATTAGACAGTGAAGAAGAAGAAGATGGTGGTGGTGGATTTAAAGGAAGAGAAGATGTGATGGAAGTGGAGGAGAATGTATAAAGGTAAGGAGGCGGCTAAATATGGTGATGTTAAAAGGTCCAAGTCTCGTGAATATTGGTATTCTGAGGGAGGCTGATGGCTACCTTTCTTGGTATCGTAAACGGCACGTAAATGAATATTGGGTAATGTAAGTGGTGGATATGTCATGGGATCAAGGAAACTATGTAGTCATGGACTTACGCACAAAAAATTGTGTCATCATATATCTTTTGGTATTATTGAATGTAAAATTGTTGACCGATAGATTTTATTTGAACATTAAAAGGGCTTCGTTAATTTGATGATTCTACTTAAAATTGATTTAATGTAACAAAACCAGTTTATGTTGTGGCTCTCGTTATATCATATCATAGCATATCATATCATGTCATACTTCCTTTAAAAGTATAAGTTTGGGAAAAGCTTTTTATGATCAATATTATCTTTCACTATTTTGAATATTTTATTAAAATATTAATTTATCCTAATCATAATTATACCCTATCCTAATCTTAAGTAAACTACTACAGGTCAACAATTAAAAAAATAAGATAAAGAAAATACAAGAAACAGCTCTACCATTTTAGTTTGTTAAGGTAATGAACTTATATGCTATAATAAATGAAGTATTACAAAAAACCCAAAATGTTTCAAAATTGCACATTTACCCTCAAAAGTTTAAAAATACACAAAAACATTACGACGTTTTTAAATTTAAACAATCAAACATGAAATCTAAAAATTAATAGTAGCCTCTGAAGTATTTAAAAATTATTATTAACACCCTTAAAGTTTTAAAATTTATAGAAACGCCCTTAAAATTCCAAATAATAAAAAAACACCCTGAAATTCTAAAACTTTAAACGTTGCAAACGATAAAGATAAATTCAAGGGATTACCATCACACACAAAAAAATTTAAAATTTACAAAAAAATAACCTCAAAGTTATAAAACTTACAAAAAAAACTCTTTCAAAAGTTAAAAATCACAAGAATTAAAATTTTAAAACTTTTAACCTGTACATATCAAATCTAATTATTATCTACAGACTACCAAAAATTTTAATTTTACAACAAACAATTCAAAATTTCAATAATTGTGAAAAACACTATCCAAATTTTAGAATCACAAGAAATATCTTGACATTCAAAAACTTACCACCAACACATGACACATGGAAATTACAAGCATCCAACTTAAAATTTAAAATTAAAAAAAAAACTCTCTAAGTTTTAAAATTTGTAAAACACACCCTCAAAAATTCAGCATCACAAAAAAGGACTAAAATTTCAAAACTTAGTAAATAAAGACTAGTTGTTTGATATTCTTTCATTAAAATATATAAATTTAACTTTTAATGTAAGGTTTACTATCTCTTTTTCAGCATCTAAAAGTAGTCTAATTTTATCAAAAAAGATAAAGATGGAGAAGAATTGATGTCGGTTTAATAACATAATAAAATAGAAGGAACGAAATACACTATTTTGTGAATATTTTATAAAATAGTTTATTTTTTGGGTAAATTAGGAATCTTTAGAAGGAATTTTCATGAACTTGTTTTAGTAATTTTATATGCTTATGTAGATACTTTCATCGTATAAAACTGTACTAATGTTAGAAGTAATATTTAGCTTATAACTTTTTTAAATTCTACCAAGAATCAGGAACAAACCCCATATTTTCTTTCGTTTTGTTTTACCCCACTTTTAACCAATCATCTTATTTTATTAGATTTAATTATTAATTTTTTATAACGCTATTTTTCAAGTGTTTTTTACTTTTATAGCATTATATTTTCTTAGGCCAAGCTTAGTTTCATGTCGGTCCAAAGAACATGATAAGTCAAATTAGCTTTGGATTACATTTATTTTCTGTCAATTCATTAATAAACGTAAAAATTTAAATTCGATGTAGCTCATTTAAATGAACAACAAATAAAAAACAATCACAATATTAAAGTTTAGAGATATAAATGAGCAAAAACTATTAAAGTGGACCCGATGAATAAATTTTAGTAAAGAAATATACCAAAAATTCTTAATCATGATATATAACCACCTGCATTGCACGTGCATAAAACTTAGTTTTTGGAGGAAAAAAAAATAACATTTTAAGGTCAGTTTTCGGGTTTAAACTAGTTTTAGTTTTGAGACTCACATCACTCTATTTCAAAACTAACCCTAAACTAGCTAGTTTAGATGGAGAATTGTCAAACTGAGCCTAATATTCAAAACATTGAAACTCATTTCAAATTTAAACTTTTTTCAGTCCTAAGAATTGCAGATCATTCTTATTTTTCAATCAAAACAAATATTAAAAGTTTATTTAATGATAGCTTGTGATTAAAATGTAGAATTTTCTATGAGTCAAATCGGATTTGACCCAGATTCTGGATGAATTAGAATATAATTGCTGTAACTGGACATGTGGATGTTTTTTATTTCGTCGTCATGTGGATGTTGCATTTAATAATATCATGTATATAATAGGTATGTGATTAATCTCATAGGTAGTGCGGTTGATAAGGAAAAATAATTTCGAACAATCAGTATCTTTTATGGTTTGTCAAGATGTTAGTCTCTTAAATCATAAGTATTTTGATAACAGTCCTCCAAATCTTTCTATTTTGATCTTAGTCTCCCACATCGCATAAATAATTTGATATTGCTTCATGTGGATAGTTATGCTTATAATGGTAGGGAATATTTTGTTATTTTTAACTTTTTATAGAATGGACTGTCATACATACTCTCACCCTTAATGCCCAAATCTACATACTTGTTAAACATAAAAAACCTGATAAATGCCAAAAAAAAATTTTGGTCAATGAACTTAATTTTATTCATTTTCCAATTTGAGAATGAGAAGTACAACTAAGTGCCAGAAAATCTGGAAACCAAAAAATTACAGGTTCTCAAGAATATTTTTCATATGTACATTAGAATTATCATTATGAACTTTCGCAAAAACTGAAAACTGGATATCACTAAGAATCTGAGCAGTGAGCCTCATTCTGCCTTGAAAGATTCTCTGATTTCTCTCCTTCCAGATCATATACACTGCAGTGGATAAACACATCCTCTTCAATTTCTTCATAGGGCCTTTTCCTTTCAAATTACATGAATACCAGTTCAACACCAAACTCCACACACATGACCTCCATCTATATCTCAGCCACTCCATCACTAAATTCCAGACTTCAGCTGAAAATTGACATTCAAAGAAAACGTGACTACTTGTCTCCAGTTCCTGTCTATTACACAGGACACAGTGAGTCTGATTGGAGATTAGGATACCCATTCGGCACAATCTATCCTTGGTGAGAAGTCTTGAATGACAAACTAGCCACAATATGAAAGAATGTTTAGGATATAAAAAACTATCCCATACAGTTTTAGCCCAGGGCACTGTAATCGTCGGCTGGATAAGAGACTTGTAAACTGCAGATAATTGGAGTTTGTCATCAACATAACATTCAGTTAAGGCAGCCTCAATATTGTCAACACTACCAAACTTGTGCAACAACATATCTCTCACTTTAAGGAGTTGCCTCCATGTCCAAGAATCATTTGTCTTGGATGGAACAGACCAGATATTGAGCCTCTGTAGATAGTTTCCATGAATCCACTTTATCCATAGTAGATCCTTTTTAAGATGAATCATCCAAAGGAGCTTAGTAGCAGCAGCATAATTCCAGAGCTTAGCTAAAAAAATCCCCAGCCCCCCTTGCTCCTTCCCTTGACACACAGATTTCCAATTCACAAGATGAAGTTTATGTCCCCACAGAAATTCAGAACTCATTCTATCAATTCTTTCCAATACTTTAACTGGCAGAATGTAATTACTGATCCAATATGTTTGAATGCCTAATATCACAGATTTTATCAACTCAAGTCTGCCTGCATAAGACAGATATTTTTCCTGTTGCCAGGTTTGGAATTGCTTATTTATTCTATCAATAAGGCAGGAGCAATCAGAAAACGAGAGCCTTTTAGCATTTAGTGGCAGACCCAGATACTTCATAGGCAGTATACCCTCAGGGAATTTAAGATAATTGCATATCTGAATTTTGAGGCTATCACTAACTCCACTAAGGAAAACTGAGCACTTACTTGCATTAGCTTCCAAGCCTGAAGCTTGTCCAAACTCTTGTAGACATTCATAAATTTTTGCGATAGAGCTCATGTCAGCTTTACAGAACAATAGCAAGTCATCGACAAATATCAAATGATTGATCTTCAGTTTAGAACACTTCGGGTGAAATTTGAAAGAGGAGTCATCCTTTAGAGCACTAAGTTTTCTAGATAGAAACTCCATACTCGGGTGAAATTTGAAAGAGGAGTCATCCTTTAGAGCACTAAGTTTTCTAGATAGAAACTCCATACCAACGACAAAGAGATAAGAGGAAAGAGGATCCCCTTGTCTTAATCCTCTTGCACCATGGAAGTATCCATGCAGCCCCCCATTCAATGCTAAAGAAAATTTTGGAGAGGAAATACACTCCATGATCCAGTGAACCATGATCATAGGAAACCCCAGACCAACCAACATACTTCTTATAAACTCCCAATTAATAGTGTCAAAGGCCTTCCTCAGATCAACATTCAGAATAGTTCTTGGGGAGTTATTTTTCCTTCCATAGTGTTTGATAATTTCATGAGCAAGTAAGAAGTTACTGGAAATGAGTCTCCCTTTCACAAATGCACACTGAGCATCATTAACTAAATAGCCTATAATCTTTTGCAACCTACTAGCAATAACTTTAGAGATAATTTTGTAGATGACATTGCAGCAGGAAATCGGCCGATAGTCAGCAGCTGATGTGGGATTAAGGACTTTAGGCACAAGAGTAATAGAAGTAGTATTAAGGGAACCCAAGAGTTTACCTGATTGAAAGAATTCTTCAACTGCTAGAAAGAGATCCTCGCTGATGACACACCAAGCAGCTTTAAAGAAGTAAGCATTGAAACCGTCAGGCCTAGGGGCCTTGCTATCAGGCATGGAAAATAGAGCTTGCTTA